ATATATAGTTTATAGAATCCCATCGCTTTTACTAGTAACCAGGCATTATAACCCATACCACGTTAACTATTGGAGCTAAACCGGACCTCGTTAATCGCTCTCCCAATTTACAATAGTAACAGTATGGTCGTAAATAATTTAATTGTGTGACCTTCGAATACTTGAGGGGAGGGTGTGACCAATTGTCGTATGACGAATAAGAATTGGCTATATATTTTATATAACTAATTATTATTCGTCATGTCCATAATTAGTCACCCCTCAAGTTGAAATTCGATAGAAATTTATTTATCATATGGTTAACAAAAATAAAGATTTTTTATGGCATCGCTCTTTAAAAATTAAGTTTTTTTTACAGGATTGTACGAATTGCTCTCACAAATCAAATTTTATACGGGATTTTACATGTTGTTTTAAAGTTTTACGAGCACTGTTCCTTTCTTTAGCAGTTAAATTCTTAGTAAGAAATATTTCGAACTTTCTGTATCAGGTTCCATAGAAAACCGATCTTCTTCAAATATATATTGGTATTAAAATTTAAAATTTTCATTATAATAAGAAATCGTTATTAAAACTATCACAAAGAATTATTTTCTTCGATTATTTTATTGATAAAATAAAATTTGTAAAGACGATTTAAAAAAAGAGAAAAATATTGCTACGATCATCGTTTTTACCATTTAGCGTCATTTTAGACTTTGGCTGTTTTCATAAATCCCGGGACACTCGGTGTATAGGGTGTGATAAATCATTTTGGTGACGAATAAGAATTTTTTATTTAAAATATATAGCAAATGTTTATTCGTCACAAAAATGAATGCTCACACCCTTCTTAAGTTTTCTTTAGCGTCGCATTTACATAAATTTAATAATCATAATATACACGTGTTTACTTATTTAATGTATTATACACCACTACTTTGTTTTACCATACACCACTACTATTCGTATTACTCCTTTCAGAACCAGAAGCAATGTTTAGATTTTTTTGTATCTCACATCATGTAATAGCGATATGCAGTAATGTACATTTTGGCATGTCCAAAGCTTTTTTGGACATGTCCAACGTTCAAACGTCCAAGTGTCCAAAGTGTCCAAGCTGTCTATAGCCTTAAATATTTATAAAAATTATATTATTATACTCTTTGTCTAATTCTAAACATTTTTACTTATAAGATTTGAATAGGTTATCTTAATAAAATTTTGAGTAAATTCATATTATTTTTTTGTCCAAAATCTTGTCCAAAGGTTGTCTACGTACAACACTGGCGATATATGTATTCTCAATTTATTTTTCTTGATAAAAGTGATTAGCGTTACAATTTGTAACGCGCAATTTTTATTCCATCGTTATGTCATTATTGAAGTTCAGAACTTATGATACGTACTTAATAGATCACGGAACACCAGATATAGCTCAAAAACCAGCGTAAACCACCTTTATTAATAGTACCTAAATACATAAATTTTATGTTTCCACATCAAACATTATTTTTAGAAACAGAGAGAATTTTTTGGGGGTCCACCACATCTTCGAATATATTTGTATTTAAAATGAGTAGGCTTGTCTACAAAGTGGTAATCTCCATTAAATACATCGTCAAATTTGTGATGAAATGTTTCTAGGTTTTCGATTGTTTCGCATGTTCTTTCGTATATTTCCTGCCCAACATATTAAGTTAAAATAAATTGGACAAATTTTTTCAATAACAGAAATGGAATCATAAGCTTACCATAACTAGCTTGATAACATTGATAGTAGTTTTCAGTTTTCCAATATCTCGAAGTTTTATAGGCAATTCAAACTTTGGCCAGAAAAGACAATATAAAAACCTTCTACTAGATCTTCAACCAACAATTGCTCACATGTACAACCAAATTGCAAAAAGGGAACTTATATTTTTAACTTGATCATCATTGAAATTATATTTTAGTAATCTATTTAATATCGATTGATTTATTCGAGAGGAACGGCATCTATCACCAATAGTCTTATTTGCTATAACTTTTGTGAAAAATTCCCACTCTTCGACATTAACTCCTGATGCTGATAGGAAGCGAACATCATATTTACATCCATTGGCATAGTTTGTACTCCTACTCAACGGGCAAAAAGATTCTCTACTAATTGAATAAAATTGTTAAAATAACTATATCATAAGAAAATCACAAATAAATTTATACAAACCATGTAGAATATACTTCAAGGTTTACAATTACATCGACCTCTGTATGTGTACTTTTCGGAGTAAAATCCAAGATATTAACTTGGTTTTCACTCTTGTAAATACTGAATATATTGATAATAAGAATTGGAACTACAAAAAAATAAACCAGGTAATATTAAATAGCCTACAAGTCGCCATATATCTTGCTGATCTTATATAAGAAGTTGTTTTTTTCCAAGTTAATATGAGTATCCAACAGTGTTTGTAGGCCTAATCTACTTTTCCTTTACGTACAAACTAAAATTAAAGTAAATTAACATGTATAAATAAAGACAAATAAGAAAAATAAAACCTATACCTCCTCAACCTTCAAAATAAATAAGCTCTCTTCGGGTGCCAGCTCAGGAATTTGTAACATAGATTCATGATCATTTGATATGAATTTCCTGTCATCAACGCAAAACTATTCTTTCATATGAGCAGACAGATCAATTATATTTGATATATCGTAATGCAGTATGGCTTTCTCGATGGCTGTTAATTTCTTCTTTTTTTTGGTTGTTCTTGTATTCTCAAATATCTTACTAGCATAGATGTTACTAACGTTTTTACTTGAAGGCAAGGTCCAAATTTCTGAACTGCTAGAGGCAGAGATAAATGATTCTTCTAGAGGTATATCTTCATCGTCATCAGTTTCTTAAGAGGAATGGTCTAGTGATATTATATTGGTTTTTCAATTTTGATGTCATCAGGAAATATATCTCCCTATAAAAAATCAATTTAATTTGCCTCTTGAAAAGTTATATACAATCTAACCTTATCTCAAAATAGATTATTCGAATCCTGAAATACCTTATAATCATTGTTTGCTAATACGAATTTGATCTATACTGAATACTTTGTTGCTGTCAAAATTTACTTCATCATTTGAATCTGTCTCTAATTTGTCATCAAAGATCAGCTTGTCATCATCCTCCTTTTGAATTCGTTTTGTTGTTCAGTTTTTCCTGAAATCAGACATTTTCCTCCTTTTTACTGTTAATAATTTAATATTCTCTTCCAACAAATTAGTCCTTATTTGACAAGCATTTTGCTCCTAAATGGTTCGCAATAAACAAGTTAACAACAATAACTTCATTAAAACTTATGAAATGAAATAATTACTTCTTTTTTCTGTAATATAATTTGTACTGTATTAGTAGTAGTTTTCTCTTCTCGAATTCTAAGACTACTCCAAAACTGCTCTATATTGGAAAAACCAATAAAGTTATTGAAATTATAAAACAGTCTTTTTAGCTATTACATTATGTATATCATCCTTGGAATTAATAATTTCCAATGCCTTTTCTGCCTCTTCCTTCTGAGAGAATATAAATTCAGTCTTTTTAAAAAATTTAACGGCATTAACTTCTCCAGATGATAAAATTTTTTCTAATAATTCTACGAAATCCTGTATATAATAACGCAAAAAAAGATGTGATATATTAATATCATGAACTGCTATTAGCAAATTCATCTATAAATCTATAAACTATAATACAAACCATTATATTGACTCAAAAAGAAAATAAAGATATAAAAAAGTATTAGTAAAAGTCAAAGTTAGAACTTTTATATCTTTTTCTCAAATTCTTAAACCCGAAATCTTTTCAGGATAACATAAGATCAGCACATTGAAGCAAACATAAATTCTTTGCTGTATACCCGTTTCGAAGACAACACCAGAGGCAGAACGTATCCCCTCAGGATTTACAGGCTTAGGAACCGCTGAAAATAAGGATCAGAGCCTTACAGATTCAGAACCTTATGCATCTTTCAAAGATCGTTATGCAACCATTTCGAAGACAACACCAGAGGCAGAGCGTATCCCCTCAGGATTTATGAGCTTAGGAAACGCCGGGTTTACAAAAAAAAAACCATACTTACTTTTCGCAAAGCTGAAGATCTAAAAAAAACTATAGAGAAAAATTCCACGTGCGTTTTTAAACCACAACATTAATAAATCATGTGAACAAATAAAAATCCCGAACATACAATTAAGGTATTGTTACCCTTACGGGTTCCCTCGTGACATATCGATATTTCCTGGGGCTTAGATGGTCACGATAATCCTATATTTATCGTTATTATTTGTTTAATTTCTAAATTGGGTAGTGTTTAGACGAGGCAAATCTAAATTAGGAGGAAACTGGTTGTTATTAGTAAAATTGCAGGTTGAATTGAGAGATGGGTTGTACGATGGACAATCCATCGCAATAGTGTTAGCAAAATTGTGGTAAGATTGTATACCATCCGTATAAGATGGGAGATAAAGCAGTACTAAGATCAGAGTTGTAGGGTAGAACGCAGTAGTTATTAGTAAAAGAATAATGTATTTAAAGGGCTTTTTTTGACTTTAATTAAATTTCCTCAGACTTCGATGTCTTGAATATAAGAAAGATATTAGGAATCGAATTCTCAAGTGTTTTGTTTTAAAGTTTATTGAATTGTAAATTTTTTTTTCTTTTTTAGAATAACCCTTTATTAATATACGTTTCGTTGTATTTCGTTATCATATTTTAACCCCGAATAATTATACTATATAAACTAAACCCCATGCCCCGATTAAATTGATCAGTAACACAATTATTACATTGATTTACCCTGATTCTTAATAAATCGCCACAATTAATATCATTATCGGTATTAATCAGTTAATCGACCTCTCTGATTAACCCTATAAAATCCGTTCATATTACCCACCCAAGTTCACTATTGGAGCTAAACCTGGCACTATTTGTATAACGCTCTCCCAAAAAAATAGTAACAGTATGAAAACTTCAGTTTGCCTGTATATCTCAATGATCTCAATGAATCAATTTCTAGGCTTGCAAACTAATG